TAGCAGCAGCAGCAGCAGCAGCAGCAGCAGCATAACCACCTAGTATTTTATTTAAGCTGTGATTCGCACCACACGGAGGTATCTAAGCGCAGCCACCACCTCGCCGCTGTCCCCCAGAGCAAGGCGAGACGTCTCTGCCCCGTTGCTTGGTTTTCCCGTTCCCGAGGCTTTGCCCTCCTCACGTGCCTTCACAAGAGGCTGTACGCAAGATCTTGCCTTTTTGCACCTGGCGCTCCGTTCTCGGGCACCCTCACTGCCCTTGCGGTCCTCTTCTCTTGGTCCTCTCCAGCTCTACACACCTGCACCTTAGCTTTCCTTTTCTCCCGTGCTGCCGTCTGACTGGGCCTTTTCTGCATGCTATCTTTACTGCATTTCTGATGCCATGCGCATCCTTCGTGCTCTGTTTTCATCACTTTCAGTGTAACTACCCAATGACTGAGGGGGAAAAAAAAATCTCCTTCGGTATGATTTTAGGATCCTCCAGTTCTGCAGCTTCCTGATTGCTGTGCCACACAAGCTATGCGCTGTTTTATTTAAATTCCGTGTAAACAGAACAGCTGGGTTTTCAAGGCTTGGTCACCGACAGCTGTCTCCCAAGTCTTAAAATGAACAGTTAACAGGCAGCCCTTATAAAAACGCCTTTAAAAATATGTAAGCCTAGTAATCCGTTTGGACCGCAAAAGGTTGGGGTGTACTTTTCACTCGATTATTATAGACTGCTTCATCCCACAGCTCCTATACTTAAGATCAGGGTCAGGACAGAAATGCTGTGTTTCCTCCTTGGAGACAGCACGGCTTTATGGAGCAAAAGAAAAACAAAGTTTACTAAATTTAAGCAGCAAGCTAAATTTCAGGTTCCTATAGAATCAGCTTCATACAATGGCTGTTGTAGCTGTCTCACTTCTCAGCTGGTTTAAGTGTCTTTGAGGATGGAGTTTTCTTTCTATGATGGAAGAGTATATGAATAGTCACAGATTTAGCATATGCTGATTCACTTACTGTTATTTAAGGTAGGCCACTGTTAGTAACGTTGACCCAACGTTTTAGCATTCTGTCTTTTGGCTGCCTATTACTGGCTTACTGAATGAGTATAGTAACTGAAACACTGCACAAAGGACTCTGGAATCAGCTTAAGGTGATGAAAGAATCTTACAGAACTGATATGCTGGAGAGACTTCCCTGAGGAAGCATAGCAGTGGGTGAAAATGGCTAGAGGGAGCAAAAAACAAACAAACAAACAAACAAACAAACAAACCAGAGTAGAAGGCTGTGGGAGACCGTAACATATTACCAAACTGTAATACTGCTTTAATATGTAGTTCTATTTTCTAAACTTCTAGGGCATTTGCAAATTAGAACAGGGGCAGGGAAGAATCCTCAGATTCCCTTCTCTTAAATAAAAGATTAAGAATTACTGTTCTATTTTTACAGGTTATCTTATGAATGAAAGAGCTGAACAGATTGTTCATGAATTCTAGAGGGCACCTAGGTTGAAGCAATGGAGAGAATGGTACTAGTATGCATTTTATTTTTAGACTGTAAAACGTCATTGATTTCAAGGGAAAAATTTGTTCCTTCTAATTGCAGGAAGTAGCAAAAACCATAGGAGATAAAACTCTTAGCCAACTCACAAACTTTTAATGACTCAGTTCTTATGAAACCTCATGGGGGGCCTGCAAGCTATGATCCCATGTTATTGCTTGACAATATCTGGTACGTCTTCAGATTTCACAGAATACACTTTTGTATTTTGTTTTACAACCACTTTTCTCTGACATTCTGTTGTCAGAGAAAATGCAAGGAAAGTCTCTTGGAGGGTCTTGGAGCTTCTATGTATTTGTCTCTTCTCATTTGGAATTTGCTTCACAGGAGCTGTGGAGATGTCTCGCAGGAGCCCTGTTGCCTCTTGGCTTTGTGCTATGCTCCACTGCTTTGGAAGTTACATACTTGCTGATCTGTTACTTGGAGAATCACCTCTTCATTATTTCAGTAATAACTCCAGTGTTGTCCTGGCCACAGCAGTCTGGTGAGTCTTTTACACTTCATCTCATTTATTAGGCATAAGACGCTGCGGGCTGTGTATGAAACCATCCTGTGTGAAGGGAGGGATTCTGCTTGTGTGACATACGTATATTATCTTGTTTGGAATAACTGAGGGAAACAAGAAGTGGCGTGAAGTTGTCCTTGAGTCTTTTGTATTCCTAGATCTGATTTCCAGTTTGTCTGACCAGTTGTCTAACGTTGTGATTATATGGGCTGGAGACAGTCCAACTGCAGGGCATTTCTATTCATAGCTGCCACAGCTGAACCGTGGCCAAACTGCAAAGGCAGCATGCACTGCACTGACACCACATATCGTAGAAGAGTGGCACACAGTGAAGTTTGGGGATCATTTTTGGTCATGTTAGTGAAACGTGCACAAATGAACCATGCTTTCTCAAAGGTTTAATTTCCTCAGTGCATAGGGGACCTATGTGCTTTTGCGTGACAGAACCAGCATCTCCTTCTCCTTGAAACAATTCAGGCTAACTCTTAATCCTGTCTATACATCCCAAATGAGGACAAACAAACGGGTCCCTGAACTCTTTGTGATTTTGTTCCAGGTATTTGATGTTCTTCTGTCCCATGAACCTCTTCTACAAGTGTGTTAGCTTTCTGCCTATGAAGCTCATCTTTGTGGCAATGAAGGAGGTGGTCAGAGTTCGCAAAATTGCTGCTGGGGTCCACCACGCTCACCACCACGGGTGGTTTGTTATGATGGCTACTGGATGGGTCAAAGGTGAAACCTGAGATACTCTAATGCAGCAGGGACACGCTCAGCCTCTGTGGGGAGGGATGGGAGAATCCGTGAGTGGAGCTGAGGTGAACACATCGCTCGGTGCTGACTGATAAGCCGATTAATGGATGTGGTTAACTGGTACTTTAGGGTAACAACTTCTAAGTTTGGGAAGAAAGTTATGGTCTTTTTGTTCCTCTTAGGTTATCCTTATTGCTTGGGGATCTGGAAGGGAGAGCAAAGCTCTCTCCTGTTGTGGGAGTTCTATTTGTTCGCTTTTACTGTTTTGCAGGTTCTGGTGTTGCCTTGATGTCTAACTTTGAGCAATTGTTGCGTGGGGTCTGGAGGCCAGAAACAAATGAAATTCTTCATATGTCCTTGTAAGTAGCTAGACTGTAAATTCTCTGTCAGTCTGAAAATGGAATTTGAAGAACCATTCAGGACCGGATACAAACTATGCAAACCTTCTGAACAACCGGCTTATTTCTCTTCCAGCCCTACAAAGGCTAGTCTGTATGGCACACTTCTCTTCACTCTGCAACAAACTCACTGGCTCCCCATCTCTGAAGCCAACCTCATCTTCTTTTTCACCATGTTCATGATAGTTTGCAAGGTAAGTTTACAGCAGATTCGCTGCTAAAAAATCTGCAGAACCAGAGAAGAAAGGGGGTGTAGAATCAAGTGGGGGAGTTCACCAGTTTAAGCTGAAACACTGGCTTTGGAATGCTGCTTTCTACCCTGTTTAGTGGGTTCTGCTGGTCTGTGCCTCCTGACTTTCCAGAACTTCCATGTAGGTGCCCGTGTTTTCTTGCCCATGCAGAGTTTCTGCATGAGTTAAGTTCATGAATAAGTGAAAAACTGCAAATGTTACTTTCAAGAAAATTAGTGATAAAAATGAGTTACTCTGCAGGGTAATTAGAAAGCAACCTATGAGATCCACTGGTTTCTGTTAAGAAATACTAGGGCTAATTCTTGCACTTAGCTTTGGTCATCTTTCTAAGTCGCTGCTGAAGGCATTGCCTGTACGCACCAGGGAAGATCTGTTCAAGAAATTATAGACTGAATTCTCCATCATGAGGGCACTATGGCTGAGGAAGATCCTTGCAAAACACCCTCAAGTCATGTAGTAGTAGGGACTCTTATCTGTGGCTAATGGGACGCTCTAAGAGTTAGCATTTCATCACTGATGTATGTGATTGTTAACTCTAAGTATCTGCTGTTGCATGGCAGGTTTTCATGACAGCAACTCACTCTCATGCCTCACCTTTTGCTCCCGTTGAAGACTTCATCTGCCCAGTTTTCTTTGGCTCTGTTTCTGGTGGACACGCTAGTCATCATCACGACCAGCACGAAGCCTCCCATGATGTTTCCCATTCTCCACCTCCTCCTGCAAAGTCTAAGGAGGAGCTAAATGAAGGCACAAGGAAACGGAAAGCAAAAAAAGCGGAATAAAAAAACAACCACACAATAAATAAGCCAAGAAAATTCTTCCAGAGCTGCATCTCAAAGCCACCTTAAACGAGTGACCTCGTTTATCCTCCAGTCCTTCTCTCTGAGACTTCAGAGAAGAGTTAGAAGCCAGGACACTGCCAGGCGGGTCCCTGAATTTCATCTGTGCTCTCTTTGCTGCTTCTTGCTACTTGGTCTCTGTCTCTCTATTCTGAGCTTGTTTTCAGGGATTTGTAGATTTGTGCCAGGATGATGCTTGGGTGCCAGTTCCCAAACTGTCAGCAATTATGATGCAGCATTTTCAATTGATGTAAAATCTTTTCATTGTATTAATTTTTGAATGGAGAGAGTGGTTTGTGCTCCTGCAACTTAATAGGTTCCTTTGCATTTTCATTAACCTTTTTGATGTCTACCACAACAGCAAACTGTTTAGACGCAATCCACGTGGAAATTGAATTTTCATACTCAAGGAAATTAAATGGTCTCATATGACCCTGATCTAATTTTCTTAGCTCCTGCATCTGCAGTATCTCCAGTTAATGTGACATTTTAGATGCGATAAGGACATCAATGCTGGTGTCCTGGACAAATTCCACTTTGGGTAATTACATTTTTCTCATCTAAATTCCCTCTAATTCTTAATGAATGTAACATCTCTTTCTTAGCTAAGTCTTTGTTTGCAAGGGCTTTGAAGCTGCAAAATGCTCTAAGTGCTATGTATTGGTACTGTTACTATTCTGAACTGCTGTGTAGTGTTGCTGCACATTGTTAACAATTGTGTGTCCCACCTCAAACCTCACTGTGTTTAACTGAGGAAGAAGCATGGTTCTGGTTTGTTTATAATCCTGTGGGATACATGAAGGGTGTATAAGTGTAAATGAGTATTTATTACTATTTATTTCTAATTGTCAAGGCACTAAATTAATGGACCTGAAACTGGCTTTTTAAAAAAGCTTTGCGCCTTTGTATACAGAATTTGATACTTTTAAGTACAGTCCTAAGCCCACAGCTACAATCTGGCTTGCGCGTGAAGTAGTTTCTGGTGTGCCGGAGGCCAGCTTCAACTCTTTTCCTATGTCCAGAAAGGAGTATTTCCCATGTTTTTAAACTAACATTTAAGGGCTGTGAGGGGATCCACACCAAATGGATCGAAATTACCTTAAAGGACTGATAAGAGAACACCAGCTGAAGAAATCGAGTATCCTTTGTAGGTCTTCTCAGTCAAACTGTTGACCTGTGGAAGGAGCCTGTGTCCAGTGAGTGAAGGAGAGGATCAAATGTCTTGCATGGCTCAGGGAGGAGTCTGTCAGTTCCTTCACGTTCGGCTTGGTGAATCTTGGCTTTTAGACTAATTTCAAGCTGTTCTTATAACTGATTTTGTTGTTAAAAGCATCATCTGAAGCACTGTGCCCTAAGGACCTGAATTTGCTCCGAGTTTTTTCCATCACCAAGAGCTGGGATCATTGCTGTGGAAACAACATGCTTGGGGATGGAGCCTTGGGCCATCCCCAACAATAAGTTTTTTTTGCTGTCGTCTTGAAGTTGAAAGTGGTGGTAAAGTGAGGGGCTTGAAACTGAGAATACATATTGGAGGGCTTTAAGAACTCCCCCCTTTTTTGTCCCTCTTGGAAAATTGAAACTCCCACGGTTAATTTAAAAAAAGAGCACCTGCAACCTAAAGATTCTTGTATACAACTGATGAAAGCCAGTACATGAGGTCAGATTTACTGTGGGCTTGGGTTTTGAAAGTGCCTTAACTTTGTGACTCCTCCCTCCCCTTTGGTAGAAAACAGGAATTCTACCTGACAACTGTCTGGTTTTGCAGATACTATTCTACTGAAACCTGATGTATCACTAGCATGCAGAAGACTGTAATTCATGTTTTATGAGATGTCTGATTTAAGGGGAATTTTGTTTTATGAAAGCCCTCAACAAAATAAAAATTGTGAAGTGATTCTGATTGCTCAATGGCACTTGAGCAAATACGCGCGTTTCTTTTACTCTCGCCAGGGACGTTTCCCGGAGGGGCGGAATAACTTGCTTCCACGGCACAGAGCTGGGAACGCTAAGGAGAACTCGGTGCAGTCCGTCTTCTGGCTGATTAAATGAAGATCTGGAAAGGGCTACTTATTCTCTTAAGGATGTTGCTTCTCTCCCCCCATATCTAACTCTTAAAATGTTTATCAGTATTCCCTTATTTATCATAGCAGTTGAGAATGTGCGTTACATTGGAGCGTGGGTTTTAAAGTCTCCGTATGATCTGACCAGTGGAAAAGAAGGCCAGTGCAAGCCCTGCTGCACATTTAAAAAAAAAAAGCCAGAAAAAAGCACTAGGATGTTTCATGTGGTTTGACCATTCTTCTCTCCCATAACATATGCTTCAGTGTTACAAACAAATTTTGCTGAGGACCTAGATGAAATAGTAAACAAAAGCAGGCAGATGAGAGTAGGTACTTCAAATGCTTTGAAAAATCCTACAATGTCCAAACCCCATGCTGTGCTGCCTGTGCAAAACATTCCCGGCTCCAAACTCTGCAACAGCACAGGGTAGGAGAGAAGCATGCCAGGGCTTAGACTTCCACAGGACAGACGTCATTGCCTCCAAAGATGTTCTGATCTGATAACTCCTGATGCTAACTCTAGTGAGATGTACTAAATTTAGCAATACATTTAATCCTTAAAGAGGCCCTGGTTGCCTGATGGAAAAAGCAAAGTGTTTCAGTTGCTGCTCTCAGCATTCTTGCTGATTGACAGGTTTCCCTTTCCTTTTACATGCGGCCAGCCATGTAACGTGTCTACAGACTTTATCCTCACAGATCAGCTTCACAGATAAGGAAAGCTCTAAAGCCCTTATTCTGGTTGTAGAAGAAAACAAAGGATAATTCTGCAGAACACTCAATTATTCCTCACAGTAAATGAAGGGAAGTAAATAAACAGGGAAGTAAATAAACAGTAAATAAACTAATCAAAGCAATGAATTTCTATACCTTGATAGTTTGATTATTGTCTCAGAGTTATCAGTGGGTCCTCAAAGAGGCTTCTTTCCAAGGAAAGAGGACTTAAGAGGCTTTTTTTCCGGGG